CATCATAAGAAGCATCATTTTTAAGAATTGTAAAGTTACAATAATTTTAGAAACCACAATTTAAAATATTTAACCACATTTTTAAAATATCTGAATTCTATAGATGCAACAGTCCTTTTAAAAACCACTTTTCATTTAAAAGCTTGCCTGAAAAAGAAGGTCTTTGCTGGACAATTGACGGAAGAGGAAGAGGGGGCATTCTGGCTTCTATGGAGCAGTGCCTGAGAAGGCCCTTTCTTCTTCTTTTCTGTTGTAATGTTGTAACATCATACCATCACTGTTGAATTTACATGGAACTTCACATATTGCCTTGTTCCCTCCTGCTATCATTCCACCCAAATTTTGCATCAAGAATATTGTGGCTGTAGGGGCAAGGGCTGGTAGCCCAGACCTGTTGTCCCATATTTGGATGTTGTAACATAAAGCCAGGGTAACAGCACACCAACAGTAGCTGGGAGATGAGGCACACATGCAGACTGGAAGTGACACTGAGAACAGCTGATGGCCAGAAAATTGAGGGAATGCCCACAGAGTCACATTACTACGGACACTGTGGGTGGCATTACCTCCAAACAAAGAACTTACAGAACATTTTGTGAACGCAGTTCTAAGCTAGATTTTAGATAATCATGAGCCCCACGACGGATGGTGGCATATGTCACTGAGATCACGGTCCAAGGAGTGATTCACAGAGCTAGGTTGCTACAGTTGGATCCATGTCATGTGGATTTCCTCAGCGATGAGGAGTGTGTGCACTGCGTAAGGCTAAAGCCATAACATACGCAGGACTGAACAGGGCAACTATGAACCTGAGGAGGTAACTGTCTTAAGTGGTTTGATTAATCAATACCTTCTATACAACTGTGAAATATTACAAGCCATCCTGTCAGTGTGTTATCTTACAGACAATTGTCATCTACGTGTGTCCACCTCTTGCTTCCAGCATGAGAACATTATCTAGTATGAGATAATAAGATAACACATGGGAACATTATAAGGAACACTTAATTGTTTTTTGGGGTTCACTATTGCACAAAATGGCCCTTCTCAAATTGAATGTCTTTCTTTTGCAATATGAGCTACACATGCATTGAGCAGAAAATGACTGACTGAATGATGAAGGCATAAACAACCCACACAATTCTTCTAATGTTTAAAAGTCCATGCAAAAATGGAGCAGTTATTATAATTTTCTCTAACTGCACTATTGTACTAAAATAATTCTTACGAGTGTGAGGAACAGGTGGTAAAGATATTTACTTGCTCCCGCATATGAAAACAAGACAAGTGAGGATTTACAGTCTTGCTCAAGTCAGCTTACAATTAAATAGAACATATACAATTAAAACATAACGTGAATAAAATAAAAATATAAAACATATTTTTTAAACACTGATGAAAGAAAATACTGCACTTACCAAGTTAAAAAACAGTTCTCAGCAAGCAAGGTTGGTTTCCAACCAGCTGACCTGAATGAAAAGATCTTTGCCCACAGGCAGAAGGACAACAAGACAGACGGGCTGACTTCTCTTGGCAGGGAAAAGCTTAGGAGTGGCCACTGAGAAAGCAGAAACACTCAAGAACCAGGCTAATGACTGCCACACTCAATTCTCAGCCTTCTGTTGCCCAAATGAGTATGAATGTGAGAGAAAACAAAAGGCGCAAAAATGAGATGCTACAGCAGGGCTCTAGGGAAGAAGTCCATGGCCTCTCCCCAAAGAATGATCAGTGAGTGGTAGGGCTTCCAAATACAGCAAGGCTGGCAAGCCATATTTTGAAGGAAATAAAGTATTAAACTTTACCTTCTAGAGTAAAGAGGGTGATAGATCAGAGTCTAAAATTGTCTATCTGTGTTGCTGGATGTAATAGCTGTTTAATCAAAGTGCTGTTCACGTCTCCATTTTCTGCTTCCTGATTCTAGCCTCAGCACAAGACAGCAGCAGACTGTACACTTACTGTAACCAATAGGTATTTTGGGGGGAAATTCACAGTTCAAAACTGCCAGTACCTTATTACAAGAAGTCCTTATGTGGCAGAGTAAGTTCTTGTGAGTAATAGTAAGTTCAGAGTAAGACCAAAAGAGATACTGAACTTGACAGGTATCTCCTTAACATTACAGCGATAGTCACAGAAAGTAAATATTGTTAACTGTGTTTTTGTTATGATTTTAGTTTTGGAAACCAGGAAAGTCTGATTTTGTAGAACACTGAATGTTGATAATATATAGAATTTTGATTTTGAATTTTGTTCATGGTTTTAAATGGGAAGAGAAACATTAACTGAACCTCATCCTGCCATATGATCTTTTATTTCTACTAGTTCAGAAGCTAAATATTAAAAGTGGCTTGTTAAATTCCCTGGTTCTAATAAGAGAATGAATAAAATGTTGGTGAAATGGTTGTTTAATTGTGCACTGTCATATCTTATTTAGGATGAGCACTTACTACTGCGTACTTCACACCACATTTATCATGGCAGGTTATGTAGAGCTTTTTTCAATATTTTCCATCCTCTGAAGACAAAGATTAATAAAACAGAGCAGACTTAATGAAACAGAGCATACTAAGAGGAAAGAAGAGGAATTCATAGGCTGTATCTTAATTTGAGATAGTTAAATTAACTGAAGCAAAGCTTAATGTGATACTTGGCTATTATCCCTTCCTCATTTCCAGAAATTTTAAAGATCGCTTTGATATATTATTTGTTTGATCCTACAGACCACTACAAAAGGCACTGCATATATACACCATTAAAATTTAGCATCCCTTGAGAAGCCAGAGGGAAAGCACATAGTAAGGTGACCTACTTGCCATGTTCTCTGACTTGAATCCATCTTCAGGCTCAGGGAAGGACACTGATGGGAAGGAGATAGTACTCAAGGAGCTGCTGTCTCCTATTCTAGAAATCTCCATGCTGGAAGAGGTGGCTTTGCATGTTTCCTTGGAATTAAAATTTGTTCTACGAATGCAACCCCAACTATGCTACAAGAATAGATGGCTATAGATTCAAGGCCAAGCCGACTAATGTCCAGAAAGCCTCAGCGCTCTCCTGAGACAACAGCTCTCTTTGTAGCCTTTTGCAGTGTGCTATCCAAGGTCCTGAAAACCCCTAGAGTAAACCTGCTCTGCTTTACCTGATGGGACTCAGAACAACTAGTCTGAAGCCTGGATAGAGGACTCATTCCTGGACAGGACAGGACATTGGAATTTTTACACATCTCCAAGATATCATAAGAATGAGGTTCTCTAGAGAGTAAGCATGAGAAGAAGTGAACAAAAATGTTTTACTGTCATGTTATTCTTATTGATCATTTGAAGGTTGCCCTGAAGCAGCTTTGGGATCCTCGCTAAAGAGCCTCAGACAAATGCATAAATAAAACAGGATTGGTAGAAGAGCAGCGTTATGAACCATTCAGCTCATCAGCTTAAAGCAAAAATATTTCACTAGTGCTGCAGGACAGTCCAATGCAACTATACTTGTTCTTCAGAAATAAGATATGGCCAGGGCATGTCAAGCCTCATGATATGAAAGCACAGATGCTTTTTGCAGCAATACATGCTCTACACCCACTATTGCCCCTAAGCAATTAGTATTTACAGCAATTAGTATTTATGTTCCCTTCAACATGGAAGATCAGTGTAACAATCATTGCTACTAACTATTCACAGTTATATATTTCATTATTTTGTCTAATAATATCTTAAGCAATCTAAACTGATGTCTACCCTTGTGGTACTGAACCCTGTAAAGCAATTAAATCATTTCCTTTTGTCTGCCCTGACTTCATTCTGGTCTTGTCATTAGACAAAGTGAGGAGGCCTCTCAAGCAAATGATCTTAAGTGTCATGACAGGACAGAAAACACCCATTTAATGTAGTTTTCATTGAGTTGTGGGTTTTTGTTTTTGTTTTTGTAACTTCTAGGCAGTGGGAAAGATGTGGGATTTTGTGCCTCTGTTGCCAAAATAAAGCAAGAATGATAGGCCTTGGTGATAAGTGGCTTGACCTCTGAGGTAGCAACATCTCTTGACTGGCCCCTTAAACTATTGACATTTTCGGGAGATGAGCCCATGTTCTTTTCTTTAGAAACCTTGCCATTAGGGTGAATTCTGAACATCCACAGATGGTATATGTCCTCATCATGCGTGTCTGTGGGATAATGAAAAGGGCCACTTGCCCAAACAGACCCTCTGCAGTTCTAACTGTGTGTGTTATGCCTGTAGATTATATTAACTGATATGAAGCTTTACATGGAAAATTCCTCTGGAGAGGTTTGCACTTACTTCTTACCCCCATGCCTTCAGCATTCTGGGGGCAGTTGACAGCTATTTCTTACTTTATATATTCCAAAACATTGAATTTTGACACTGCAAATAAAAAGTTTTGGCTTGAAAGAGAATCATGAGCCCAGTTCTCGGTCTTCCGTGACGCGATACCAGCTCCCAGAGAACAACAGTTTCACACCTGACAGAGCGTGTAAACACGGCGGCATCTGTCAGGTGTTGGCCTCGGCCCTGATCTGAGAGGAAAAAGAAGCTTGCACGTAACGTTTGGCGCCTCCTAAATTGTCTTCACTTGACTTAAGAGATGCGCGCGCGGGGCTTGAGGAACCGTCCCCCCCCTTTAAGGTATCGGAGGGAGGGCAAGGTGTTGCGAGTGGCGGCGTTCATCGCCCCCCCCTCACTTCTTCACACCTGAAGGAAGACGCGCTCAAGGAATGACACCAGTATCTGTTGCACTTCGCTGAATGAGCCCTTTACCTCCCCCCCCTCCGTTTCTTGGCAACGTTTTTTTTTTAAACAAAAAAACAAACGCGGGGCGCGGGGAGGATTAGCTTTAGCGCCACAGAAGCAAGGGAGCCGGGAAGGTGGACGAGGCGGTGGTACCTCAGCCCGCCCTGGAGCCTTTCTTGGCGGGCAGCTCCGGCTCGACTACCGCTGCTTCTCCCCGCCAGTCTCCGCCGGCGAGGGGGGAAAGGGGGGGGGAACTAGCTCCCGCGCAGACCGACTGTGGCGTCTGGAAAGGGTGACAGAGCCAGACCGGCGAGTGGTGGCTGGTTGCCTCCTCCTGACCAGAGTACCTGGGTTTCTTTCCATCGGGGAAGAGGAAAGGGGGAAAAAACAAAACAACAACAACCCCGACGTGGTTCCTTCAGGTGTCCTGAGGAGAAACCCAACTTCTTCCTTGCCAGAAGATGGGGAAGACGTGGAGGAGCCCCAGCGAGGCGGAGAACGGCGCCTCGGACAAGGAAGAACTTGGCCGGCGGAGGAGCCGGAGTGCCAGCCGGGGAAGGTTTGCCGAGTCTTGGAAGAGGATCAGTTCCAGGCGAGGCTCCACCAAGCGCTCCGGGCTCCCTTCGCAGCAGCCTCCGGTGAGTGCCCGCTTGGGGTGGCCTCCGCCGTCCTTCCCGCGTGTTTGGCGCCCTTGCCTGCTCCTTCCCCCCCCCACCCGCGCCCTCGCCCCCGGCGTGCGAAGCGAACTTGCAGGTCAGGAGTCGCGGGACCTCTCCTGGGAGAGGAGCGCCGGGTGGTCTGCTGGGGGAAAGCAGCCGGACTTCAGGCGGGCAGGAGGGCGCTGGGGTGGTGGTGGTGATGCACAGGTGATGGTCTTTGGCGCGATCAAAGAGCATAGATAGGATGTAGTATTGGTGGAGAACAGGCAGCCATATAACTTCCTTGCGGTTTCCTCTCTTCAGGTCTCGGGAGGGTTGGCTGGGTGGATCCACTCGATATTGTTTTCCTCCCTCTCGGCAGAGGAAGGCGCAGAGGTTGTGGGCATCCCTGAGACTGTGTTATTCTGGAGATCGTTTGGAACCGGGACTTGCTTTGCGCAGAAGGCGCTCTCGCCCAGCCTATTACCAGGAGAGAGAGAGAGAGAAAAAATCGGTTATAATAATTGGTCGACTGGAACTAATAGAATCATGGCTCCAGTGAAGGACTTAATATTTCTTCCTTTGACCTATTTTAAATGGCAAATGCCTTTGTCTTTATTGTCTTCCAGCATCGTGAGCCAAATGCTAGCCATCATTCTGCAGCAACATAATGTTCCCCGAGTGTAAACTTTCATTCCTGTCTGTTGTTTCCTTGGCTGTAATATAAGTGTTAATGAGTGTTGCAAGCAACACATAAAAGTAATGTGCAATTATTTCTTCCTTTGACCTATTTTAAATGGCAAATGCCTTTGTCTTTATTGTCTTCCAGCATCGTGAGCCAAATGCTAGCCATCATTCTGCAGCAACATAATGTTCCCCGAGTGTAAACTTTCATTCCTGTCTGTTGTTTCCTTGGCTGTAATATAAGTGTTAATGAGTGTTGCAAGCAACACATAAAAGTAATGTGCAATCTTCAAAACACTTCGAAAATTAGAAGTACTCTTGACTGGGTGATAAAGGAAGTGTGGCTATTGTGAAGTAGGTGCCCCAAGCTCTTCAAGAGATGAGGGCAGAGAACTGTGAAATCCACCTGTTGCTTGAGTTTGCAGAACACTGATATATCTGCTCAACCGGCTCATAGGGCCCTGGGAGTGTGTGAGATCTTTTTGTTTTGCTTGGTGAAGCAAACATTCTTAGTGCTGAACTGATGACAGCATCTGTATGGGTAGACAAATCTGGAATGGCATGCTAAAATTGCTTTGACTTGCATTTTGATAACCCCATTCTGAGCAACAGTGCATTCCTTCCAGTCTTGTTAAATGAGAAATACAGTACTCATTTTGCCTGTGATCTACTATTTGAGTGGAGAAGATATTTGGCTAAAAGGAGGCATTTGTGCTTTCTTTTCCTTTTGCATGTGATTTTTCGCTAGCAAACATTGAATTATTAGTAAAAATTGAAGAACTCTTATGCCATCAAGCAATGGGGATGCTACAATGCCTCAGCTGCAGTGGGAAACATTGTAAAGGTGGGGTCATATATTGTCATCCTGATAAGCAGAACTGAAAACTGAGAGCAGCTGTAGTATTTCCTCTGACCAAATTTTGCATTTTACTAAAGGGTTTTTAATAATAACCCCTTAACTTTCTCCTTCTTGAAGAATTATCTGGCTAAAAGTTATAATTTCATGTATAAGTTACATATATTCATTTATCCAAAGACCTGTGTTTCGATTCTGGGAACCTTGTTGCACTGGCTGCTCTGCTAGAAGGAAAGCATCAACAGGTGGAGGCAGGATAGCAATGAGAAGATAGCATGGGAAAGGGGAAAATTTGATGTGGATTGGGTGCCATGACAACCAAAATCTGAAGAAGCAACTTGGTTTTGACATAAATGGATGACACAAAATTGCATTGTTTTTGCTTTGTTAACTATGTATTTAACAAAAACCAAAAGCACAACATGGCCCAAGTGTCAAACATGAATTTTGCATCCAGTTTCATCTTGTAGATGAATTAAAATTGTCTCTAGTATCCAAAGGTGGTGAAAACTTTTAAATCACAATATAAAAGCTGCAATGTTTCAGGGAAGAAGATTCTGAATTAGATGTCCAAAAACTGAAACAGGCTGTCATAACAGGAAATAGGGAAGTAATAGGTGTATAAAAAAGGACAGCTGCTCCCCTCACATCCAAATAAGAAAGAATGATGTGACATTTGTGTGTGAGGAGGGGGAGATGAAGCACAAAAATATTTCCAGGGAGCTACTGTACAACATTATTTAATCAAAACTAGGTTTGGGATTTTTTTTTAAAAAAATAGTAGTTTGTACCATTCTATTAGTACAGGATATGTTATCCAAGCATTGGAGGGACTGGTAGAATACCAAGTAGTATAAAGAGTCTAATGTGTACTAATTTATATCATGAAATTTAACACTATTTTTCACATTATTGGCACTGTTTAGTATGTTCAGTAGGGTCTGTATTGTCATTTTTCATGTTCATTTTATTGTTCAATACAATATTTGCCCCTGAAAAATTCTCTCAAGCCAAATGTCTGCTCTTCTAAGTAGCTTCCCTCTCTTTGGAGGAATGCTTATAGGCTCAGTCCAAAATCTGTTTAATTTATCCTATGCTTAATCTGGAATCCAAGGCTGGAATTTGCCCTTAAACACACATTATCCAGTGAACACACTTAGAATGGAATCCTTGGCCCCTTTCCTTCCATCATCACATTCTTCCAAGCTGCATTGCTAGGTCTGTAGAAGAGAATAGTTCTTTAGCTATGAAGAGTGTGATGATGAGATGGGGCAAGGGTAGGCACTTCCCTTTAAGCATGTTCACAACACCAGCTGGAATAATGCAAGAGTAGGGTTCTGGTATGTTCACTTATGTAGCACTAAGACCCAAATAATTTAATGGGATTTACTTATATCTAAAATTCAATCTTAAATTACCCCCATACACCCCATAACGTGCTAAGGAAGCACAATTCCACTATGAGAGCCTCACCTAGAATCACTCTCTGTAGTTGGCTGTGCTAAAAGGGTACACCTAAACTCCTAAAGAACTTCTTTAAATTCAGTGGTTTTGAATATGATCATACTGTATGTGGAATACAGTGTTCATTCTGCATTATGACCATTTAGGAGGAAATATTGCAAAGAAAACTTTATAAAAATAGCAAGTGATTAGCTCTCCTGATTATTGACAGTGTATTGTATTTATTCTGTTTATGTTATTACATCATTTAAAAAAATGTACATTGCACAGAACAGTGGGGCAGTATATCAATGTTAGAAATAAATAAATGTTGGAATTAAATAGGGATAGCTGAGGGGTTTAGGTATCTGGTTGCGCAGCCAGTGTTTGAGTGTTTGGGAGTTCAGTTTCCCACTATGCCTCTGGCAACCACAGCCAGCCTGTGTGGCCTTGGGCAAGCTGCACAGACCCTGGATGCCCCCAGAAGAAGGGAATGGCAAACCACTTTGGAGTACTCTCTACCTGGAAAACCTGAAAAGGGTTGTTGTTCTTTAGTCATTGTGTCCAGCTCTTCATGACCCCATGGACCAGAGCATACCAAGCCCTCCTGTCTTCCACTGCCTTCCGGAGTTTGGTCAAATTCATGTTGGTAGCTTTGATGAAACTGTTCAACCATCTCGTCCTCTGTCGTCCCCTTCACCTGTTGCCTTCACACTTTCCCAACATCAGGGTCTTTTCCAGGGAGTCTTCTCTTCTCATGAGATGGCTAAAGTATTGGAGCCTCAAACTTCAGGATCTGTCCTTCCAGTGAGCACTCAGGGTTGATTTCCTTCAAAACGGATAGGTTTGATCTCCTTGCAGTCCAGGGGACTCTCAAGAGTCTTCTCCAACACCACAATTCAAAAGCATCTTCAGCGGTCAGCCCTCTTTATGGTCCAACTCTCACTTCCATACATTGCTACAGGGAAAACCATAGCTTTGACTATGCGGACCTTTGCCAGCAAGGTGATGTCTCTGCTTTTTAAGATGTTGTCTAGGTTTGTCATCACTTTCCTCCCAAG